AATTTCCTAGAATGACAGATGGAACAAAATTTATAATGACCAACAAAATACAGGAGAAAAAGCACTGATTATAAGGAAAGACTATAGCCTCTAAGGACAACTTCAAAGCAGTGTTTCATATTCTTATGGAATGTTGCCTCCAGTTTCCATGCCTTGTTAATAGTATTAAAACTGTGTTCAATGGTAGACTACAGAAAGCCTCTACATTTCTTTGCCAGAGGGGTTTCAGAATCATTGTCTGCGGAGTCCCCCTTCAACCAAAAGAATATTAATATAATCAATGATTATCATTGAAGACTACAGATTGTTTCCACAACCTGAAGGACTGACAATTGGATAGCCCTACTAAGTTCAACATTTCTACATTTGGTAATTATTCCCTCTGGAATGCCTTTCCCACTTTACCAACTCCTCCTGTTTTTTCTTTTTGTGCTTAATTAAACTCTGCCTTCCAGGCCTTTCTTCTTCTAATTCCTTAATATTTATTAGTATTCTCTATTACGTGTGTCTTAGTTTCCTCCCCCGCTTTATATTCTCACCTATTTCAACTTTCATCTCCTAAATGACTCCTAGTTTCCCACTTGTAGCCCTAAACTCTAAAATTACATTCCTTTGTACCTACTAGACATTTCCATCTGAAAGCCAAGCATTTCAGATACATTGTTCAAAGAAATGTATCCAAAACCATAGTCAACTTCTAATGTACTGATTTTCCTAAGACTTAACATATTTACATCCAATGGTGAAACCCTTGAGCAATTAGATTCTCCTCCCATAAACTAAGGAAAGGCTGATTGTTTTTCTCATGGCAGGAGTATCTTCATGATATGGTTTCTATTTGCCTCGCCAGCTTTGTCTCCTCCCCTGATCTGAGAAATCTCTTCAATTCTCATTCTATGTACATACCATGCACTTTTCCTTTACTACTGCTAAATTCTCTTCCTTACTTTGCTCAATTGCAAAATTCTACACTCCCAGACTTAAGCATCTCCACTTAGAACCTGAAAATGTGTTCAATATTGTGTTTACTGATGATAAAAATCCAAGTAACTTTGTTTTGGTACTATGGACAAATCATTACTGCTCATAAACTGGTAGAGCAAATAAGATTACAAATAGCCCTAGCAGTTTTGGCTCAGTGGATAGAGCGTCCGCCCGTGGACTGAAGGGTCCCGGGTTCAATTCCAATCAAGGGCACATGCCTGGATTGCGAGCCCGATCCCCAGTAGGGGGCGTGCAGGAGGGAGCCAATCAATGATTCTCATCATTGATGTTTCTCTCTCTCTGCCTTTCCCTTACTTTCTAAAACCAATTTTTTTAAACTACAAATAATTACAATGTAGTTTACTAAGCACCAGAATGAAATAACCACAGTGAGCTATGGCAACAGAGGAGGCGGACACAATCATTATGCCTTCTCTCTACCAGTTTTGCTTGGATTGAGCCTTGTATATATGTATTTGTCAGGTGGACAAGGTAGATGGGAGGAAGGTAACAAGTTACCAGGATATGTTCTGGCAACAGCTAGTACAGTGCAGCACACAAGGGAAATAGAGAGGGAGGGATCAGATTATGAAGACCCAGAAAAGGAAAAAGAACTAGGAGCCATGGGAGGACACATTAGAGACCAGGTGAGAGGGAATGAGACAATTAGGAGGGTAGTGCATTATAATAAACAACAAATGATAGACTAAAAAACAATGGCAGCGAGATGGGACAGCAGGGTACAGAGGGAAAGTACTTATCCTTGTTTTAAACACCAAGTTATGCACACTTAATCTTCACAAGCCTAAGAGGTATGTTCCTATTTTGACCAAGTCAAGCTTCTAAGAATGTCACTTGCTCAAAGTGACACAGCTTACAAGCAGAAACAGATTCAAACTTCAAAGATCCTACTACTAAGTAGCATAATTTAAATAAAACTTCTCATAGAGCATAGCAAGTGTAGAGGAAGGAGAAATATTCTAGCAGGTTTAGGGTTACATATAAGATTTTAATATTATTGCAAGCTGTGTAGTTTTAGTTGCATATCCAAATTTTAAGTTATTGCATAGGCATAATTTACACATTCTCCAATTAATAATTTTGCATGGGCCATAAAGTTTAAATGTAGTATTACTAGCCTGGAATATCTGCACTCTGACCACTTATTTTTATATTGCTGGGCATATTTTTCTTAAAGTATTGATCTAAAAATAAAACCCAATGTGAAAATATGCTTAATATGACATCAATATATCTCCTTATGCAAGTGGCTTAATTGGGAAATGAAATATTCAATATCTTAAAATTCATTTACCTAAGAAACATGCTATATGTATATTCTAAAACATAAACTGTTTGGAAATCTTGGTAAAATGCAGAATAACACCTCTAATAATGAAGTATTAAAGCTGTGTGAACACACATTTTTCCAAGTTTTCCTTTAAAAGGCATTCAATGAATTTTCTTATTGGTAGTTTTCCTTAAAAGAAAAAATTGTTTAAGGTTAGAAATGACCAATTCCAGAAGAAATGTATACCTTCACAAAACTTGGTCCATCAAACTGAACTATATAAATACAAGCAATGTGGGTAAGCCCTAATTTTATTTCATTCTTTAAAACTTAACAGAGTATAGGGTGTAAGTTGACTAATTTTCTAAATTCCAATGTTTTATTCTTATTCTAGTATTAAGATTTATTTGACATTAAGAACATGGGGAGAGCTAATCTTTTTTAGGTAAAAAAGCCCGTCAAGTGTATTAAAGGCAGCCATACATAAAATGCTGAGGTGTACAATAACAGCATACCTATAAATGCTGCAAAGTATTAGTATACATCCTCAAGCCTTGAGACAAAGATGACAGATAGGTTTCAAGTCACATGTCAACTCCAACAAATTAAGTGGCTACCTCCATGACCCTGGGGAACAATTTGGGCAAAATCAATCATAAATGCCTGCCATAGGATGAGTGTGGCAGCCTGTGTGCTAGTCTTGCCGTCAGCTTTTGGCCGGCAAAGACTCTGTACTGAAATAGTTCTATTATGGACAGGATATTTCATTATTGCTTTATTATCAGATAATGCATCCTGATGTGAAATAACAAAATATGCAAAATCAAGGGAAAAGTTTTGAGAATTTTTGGCCCAAGTCTAACAAAACAAACAATAATGCTACTAGTTTTCTACAAAACATCTAATGGATAGCTTCAGTTAAAATAACTAGGGTTACATTTTTCAAATGCTCTTCTTAATCATCAGGAAAATTCAGTGTAATATACGTTATATCTATGTGTATGTGTGTATATATATACACACATACTATTTTAGGAGAAAACATCAGCATTTCAGCTTGGTAATTTAAATAATGTCAACTAAGCATGTTTATTTGTAAAACTTCCCATAGTGAAACATGTTACAATTACCTATAAACATTCATTTTTCCCTATTTACAACTTGAATTATGGAATGGTTATATAAGGCAACCAACTGAGTTATAGAAAAGTCACATAAACAATATAAATCTGATGCCCAATCCTTTACAAATATGAAATTACTTTCATTGAGCTTTCAAATTGGCAAGTATAAATAGAGGTCAGCAATACTTCAGATAGGCACTTTAACAATTATTCAAAAAGATGAAGTGTACAAAGCGTAGAACGAATTTCAATATTACTCTAATCCTTATCTTCAAATGTGATTAATCTGTGATAGTCTATATTAAAGAGTGTTATAAACTTTTACTTCTTGCCCTTCTGCCTCCACTTGACCCAAGGCAACATAAAAATGAAATACACAGATATAGACATTACCACAGACCAGTTAATGTGCTTACATTAGAAGGAACTAAACATTATCTAATGGTTCTGGGGTTTCAGAAAGTGACTATTTTAACACAAAAACTGATACATACTTCTTTTCAGAAACATGTATAAACACATTGGTCTCACAAAGACAAAATGGTACCTCTACCATATTCCTAGACAAAAATGTCTTTAAATGTACTATTTAATTAATTGAATTAAAACTATTAGTGTGGCTCAGTGGTTGAGCATCAGCCCATGCACCGAGAGGTGGCTGGTTCGGTTCTCAGTCAAGGCACGCGCCTTGCAGGCTCAATCCCCACTATGGGGTGCGGGGGACAACTGATCAATATCTCCCATCATCGATGTTTTTATCTTTCTCCCTCTCCCTTCCTCTCTGAAATCACTAAAAACATAAAAAATTTTTAAAAAACTATTAGGCTTAGGTACTCTTTTCAAACACTGAATTTTTTAAGTATTTAGAGAAATTAAAATATTACATTTTAATTTTAAAAATAGATAAATTGAAAAATTATATTTACCAATACTTTATAGTTTTAAGGGTTAAATAATAAGGAACAGATGTTTTGTTTTGCCAGCCTTTTGTGAAAGACCTTTTAATCATATACCTTTGGCCAACTCATTTTCAACCTTAAACCAAGTCTTCTGAATATTTACACTGTATCTTTTGGTAGTTAAAATAATACTTGACTAGAAGATAATAATTCACATTGCTTCATGAATTCTGAGTTCTGTATTTTCCCTACTGTCAAATTACAACATACCTCTATTAGTAAAGGAAATGGCTAAGTCAAATTTTTAAAGTTTACCCAGGAAGGGTTAAAATATGAGGTTTCATTAACTAAAAATTTTAGGTGAGAACAGTTAAATTCATTAAATTTGTTTTATTTCTGGTATTTTATAATTTGAGTAATTTCTATAGCCCAGGTACCCAAATGTAGTTTAATAAACATGAGTTTTTACTCATTTGAACATGGTTAGCTGTTTCAAGTGCATTTATCAAAATCACCTGCTGTGTATGTCTGTATATGAGGGCACATGTATTTCTTAATTCCCCAAAACAGTTGTGCTCCTTTAAAAGGAGAAACTGGCTTTAGTTCAATATGCTACCTGACACTTAAGTCTCTTCTAAAATCCAAAGTCAGCCAATTTTCAAATAAGTGGAAAGTGAAAATACTTATTTAGAATGACAAAAATTAAGCTTGGCAAAAGTAGTGACTTTTATTTACAATTGCATGTATCAAGATTACAATAGAAACACTAGTGATATCATCGGAACAAAAGCAATGATTTATTGGTAATGGCAATGAATGGAATAGTGACAGTCTGGCGAGAATCAAGCAGTCATCCAGGAGCTGTAGGTCTGATTGCAATGTGGTCTTCCCGTGTCTTTTGTATCTTAGTGACTTTCTCCTTTTTTGCCAACTACCTAGAAAAATAAAAATAACTTTATATGTACATTTTATTTAGAAATGTGGGTTATTTTCAAAATAATATTTAAAAACAATATTAATTGATAATCATTATCTAAAACCTGGCATTAATTTTTATCCCTGAATTTTGTTTGGCATGCAGTATATTTCCATTGTTGAAACACACTGTGACCCTCCTTCCCTTCCAGCCTCAAGGAATTAAAAATAAACCACATGCAGGCTATTTTTGGTTTCCAACACCGTTTTAAGAAAAAGTAATGCAATTTTTCAAAACAAGGTTGACAGTTTAGAGAAGTTAATAAATAAAAAATGCTATATGAGTGAAACATATTTGGCATACTATTTTTAGACAATTAGAAATCAAACACAAATAATCTAAAATTTAAAGAGTATGCTAAACTTGTCTTCATGTCCAAAATGACAGATTTCTAGACATTTCTCTCAATATGTAGACATATAATAAAACACTAAAAATGACTAATTTTGCCTAGTTTCTATTTTTCAGAAACCCTGGTGGCTATAAATGTACTATAAGAAAATGTAAAGAATATCTTGGTTGGTCTGGCTCAGTGGTTGATCGTCAACGTATGACTCAGGAGGTCGAGTTTTGATTCCCGATCAGGGCATATGCCCGAGTTGCAGGCTTGATCCCCAGTAGGGGATGTGCAGGAGGCAGCTGATCAATGATTCTCTCTCATCATTGATGTCGATGTCTCTGTCTGTCTCTCTCCCCCACTCTCCTTTCCTCTCTGAAATCAATAAAATATATATTTTTAAATGTACAGAATAAGTCTTGTTTCTATCAATGATTAGAAAAATTGTCTATTAAGAGGTGTTTAAATGTCCTAGTTGCTATAAATGTGGCAGCATAAAAATACAAAGAATAAACTTGTTTCCTATCAACAGTTCTTTTTCTTTGTGTGTTTCTTTTTCTTCTTCTTATACTACCAACAGTTCTAGAAAACAAATTCTCTGTGGGAAAGTTCTAAAACTATGTTCTAATTGAATAATATACTTCAAACCTAAAGTTTATCATTAAATAATGTATTCTCATAGTAGAAATACCTTTAAAGAAATCTACTTGCAAGCTACTAAATATGTATTTTTATACAAAAATATTTCTATATACATTTGTAAAAGTAAATTTCATATTTAAATTGACTCTCTTCCAAATGGTAGCATCTGAATCAAGGAAAACACAAAAAGTTCTTCAGTACATGTCTGGTCTAAAAATAAAACATGGCTGGGTCAATGTCTTCCATGAGAGAAGACTATAAAACCCCTTCCACTGAATATCCAATCACTTAATGCTAAACTGCTGTTTTCCCCACTTCAAATAAAATCACTGTTATCACTTGAAAGGAATTCCTCTCTGATCCAAGGAAACAATGTGATAGCAAGTCCAAAAAGCCAGACAGATGCTAAAGAGATAGTTTCAGAAAAGAATATGTGGATGGGAATAAGGAATTCAGGTTTAAGACCTAAGAGGAAACTTCTTAAAAAAGGAGACGGAACTATTTGTATCACAAATGAATACAAGCAGATAGACACTGAAAGCATTATTGATCACTGTTATCACTTGGGAACAAACAAAACACAGAGCTATTAGATTAAGCAAAAAAAAACCCCAAAAAGAACTAATATTAAAAATTAACATTTTAGCAGATGTGATACAGAAGACACAAATCTGCATACTGTTTCACAGGTTGATAGCTCTCAACTTGCCAATGTGTATTCTCTGCAAAAAAAGAGAAACGCAACATTCCAACATGGATTTTCTTACCCAAACGTAAAGTTCTTTTATTTCTTTTCAAGTCTTTATGTTAACACCTCACAGAAACAAAAGTCTAGGTACATTAAAATTAGGTATCCATAGTATTTATTCAGTAGAGTCCACTTTTCTTCCATATTAATATTTTAAACCAGCCTAATATTCAGTCCATAAGTCTTTCGACTGGCCTTGAGTTTGCTTGGGCAGGCAAAGCATAGGATACACCCACAATTAATAAGCAAAATGACTTCTGGGCCACAGTTTCAATGAGATAAAAAAGAAGAAAACCACATCTCTTAACTACAGCCTAATCAATATATTACACTAGTACTTGTATGAAAGAACTTGATGAAACTGTTTATATTTGGCTTCCAAAATGATTTTATAGTTCCTAAAAAATCAAATTTAAACTTCAGATTGGATTAAAAACATTATCCAACAACTAGTTAAATTTGAAACTACAACAATGTATATTTTATTGCAATATTATTTCGCAAAGATAGTACAAAATTAAATGAGACAGGAGAATGTAAAACAACAACAAAAATTCGGGGGAACAACATAATATGGTAATAAAATGAAAGCACCTAGCTGCAAGCCCAAAACAAAAACCAAAACAAAATGAAAAGCCAGTGGAGAAACATGACTAGAATGATATTTGAGGAACGAAATAGCTGAGGAAATTTAGGTAACAGTAAGGCTGATCCAGATGACAGAAGCTGTAGACATCCTGCACCAACAATGATGAGAACATGGGAAGGGTGAGAGCAGACAGGTGCAAGATGAGCAGAGAAGCAAGAAGGGGAGTGGAGTGAGATAAGGTCAATCTTTATATTACTTCATTTTTAAAAAATCTTCTGGTTTTAGTTCATTTGAGTTGGATTAAAAAAGCTGAAAAATAAACAGACAGAAAAGTTACAAAAATAGCTGATACGGTAAATGGCCAGTTTAGAAAAGTCTATTTTTATAACGGGGATAGAAAACCTGCTCTGCTTTTGGCATGCACCTCATTCCCTAAGAAGCACAAGCCCCTTCAATTTTGCTCATTTCTGTACTTATGTCTTATTACTTTTGTATTAAAGCAATTGGTGTAAAGAGCATTATTTTAGCAAAGAAAACATCTACTTCCAATTAGGATGGCAAGCTTTTCATGCTGCAACACACAGAATCCATTTACAACAGCAAACAGCATAAGTGTATATTATAATCTGTGCACAATGCCTATAAGAGCCAAAAACAGATAAATGGAAGGTGTGTTCAAGTCTACCAAATCTTAAAGGTACAACCTCATGAAGTTGTAACAGCATGCAAGGTGGTGTAAGATTTCTACTCACATCTAAGGTTCATTAGCATTACCTTAGCTTCTGTCATCTTAGTGACTGACCATAGGGAGAAGTTCAATGACATTCTGAAAACTAAAATTATCTAGGAACAACTCATACAACATAAAAATGTAAACCGAAAATGCTAAATAATTTCATTTTATCATGCATTAAACCATTTCATATCATTCTTTCCTACACAGAGGTATCAAAATTTTCTTCTCTGTGCTGAAAAATGTGTACGAGATCTATTTTGAAATTTTAAATTCTAATTATTATGCATAATCCCTTTAAAATCCAGACTGACTAAAAAAGGGAATGAAGGGCCATACGTGACTGGTCCTAGAATGAATCTGCTCGTTCCCACTTTGATGCCAAATTCCTATTTTTCATTCTACCTAGAGTGCCACTGCTGTTTTCTCCTCCATCCATTTCTACTACTAAAGTTTAATTCAAGACCCTCTTCCTTCACAAAATACTCTTATCCTCTTCCAGCAATCATTGTAAAGTATAAGGATACTCCGTGGAGGAAGAGAGCCTTGAGCTAAGCTTTGAGACACTAATTGACTTTCCAGATGTTATGTATTATCTAAATTTGCTCTAGACAGGGATGACTGTACCTAGCACAGTACTACAAAAACAACAAATACCATACCACATGTCAATTAGCTCCCTCACTAGGAACAAAAATCATTTTTAATAGGCAACTATATACAAGGACCAAACTGGCCGATTTCAGTTAGTACACAGACATTAATTATATTATAATTTTCCTATACTGAAGTTGTTGACTTACCATATATATTTTAAAAAAAAAATTAGCTTACTTTTGAGAAATAACCCTATACAATAACTATACAAACAAATCTCACTCAGAAAGTATTAAAAGAAAACGTAATGTAATATTAATATACATAAGAAAACCATTCAACCAATTAAAATGTATTAAACATTAAAGGCCAGGAAGAAAGAAGTCCAGAACACCAAGAAGGAAGTCCATTCGTTATAGTAATAAATTATTCTCACAGCAGTTCTCAGAGTGGTCCAGGCTGGAGGTTCCTGAGACCCTCTCAGGGAGTCTTCAAACTAAAAACTATTCTCATTGCTACATTGTTATCTGCATTTTTAACTCTCATTGTTTCACAAGTGTACACAAATGGTGTTCCCGAGAAGATATATAACCTGTGATAGCAAAAGTGAGTGAATGCAGAAACAGATGAGAGAATTCTACCAAGCTTAACAGTAAAATAATTTATAAAAGTGAAAACAATACACTTCCTCTCAATAAACTGGTTTTTGTTTTGGAAAATATACTTCGATTTTAAAATATTATTTTTGCTAATGTACAATGTATTTGTAAATAAATATTTTTTAAATTTCTCAGTTTTAATTTCTTAAATGGTAACTATTAGATAAGTATAGCACACAGAAGCAAAAAGTCTTATTGGTCTTCAAGAATATTTAATAGCGTAAAAGCATCCTTGAGTCCAAAAAGTTTGAGAACTACTTCTCAATAATAATTTTAAATAAGGTAAAAAGGTATTTAGTTAAATGAACACATAGCCAAATTATAAAACAAACACAAATACTCTCAAGAATAGTCTACCACCTTTGTTACCACAAAAGGTAGTCTGGTAGTCAAAAACAGAAAAACTAGTCTAAAAGAGATGGGATGGGGGATGTTAAAAACGAAGAGGTAGAGACAGATTCTTAGGTGGACAATTGATAATGCACATTAGAAAAACTAATGAATGGCAGGCTAAAAAGAAGATAGACAATATTAAAGTAGTGGTTACTGAGAGTAAAAACGAACTCCAATAGCATAAGCTAAGGTGAGAAGCAGGAAATATATAGCTGAATTAATAGTAAGGGAAAATAAGAAAACAGAGTAATAGATCTTATGAAAATATTAAGCTAAAAACAAACTATGTAAAAAACAGGTAAAGCTAAATCCAATGGCATTTAATTCAAACAGGCAAAGTAACAAAGCAGGCAGCCAAAATGTCTTTGATGCTCACACATTTCCCAGTACAGTACATTTCATATCATAAATATGTAGATGTTTAATCTCTGCTTCGTCTGACCTGCCATTATACATTATACATGTCAAACATTTAACATGACCGATCTAAGTACATGACTGTTCATACAGCTCCCAAAAATTAATTATACTGTGAGACAGGAAGATTATACTTGTAAAATGACCAGTTAAACTATCTATTGTCAAAGTTATAAATTTTGTAAAAACAGCTAAAATTTTATAACTTTATAAGGGCATCCAATGTTATACAATTTTTTGAAATTTTCTGTAACTGAATTAAAATTAGATCTGTGGATACCATAAAATAGATGAATGAATGAATGCATGAATAAATAAATAAATAAATAAATAAATAAATAAATAAATAAATAAATAAATAAAAGCTTTCAGGATGTTCTACAGCTCCAATGCCTCCCAAACAGGGGTCAAACTGTTAGGCTGGGTGCCTCCTCTAAGCATTGGCAACCCTAGAAAAACTCTTCCTCTTTTATAATCATCTCAAGTGGAATACGACGATAACTACTTCTCCTATGCTGCTGCACATTTAATCTGTGCACAGCACCTGTTTTCTGTACTGATAAAACTCTTGGTGGCAATTCTTTAACATTGTATTTTTACCTCCCCTAAATATAATTTCAACAAACTTACTCGTTTGAAGTCATTCATATTTGTTGCCTGGACTGGAGTACCAATGAAAGTAAAATATGAAATTCTTGTTGTTTCTTCTTCACCTTGATTGGACTGAACAAATATCTACCAAAAAATAATAATAATAATAATTTTTACAGTAATGATTGCAATCCTTTCATAAAAATGCGTCAGTTTCATCAATTTCCTTAGGTTACTAACAAATTTACCTTCCACTCTTTGTAAGGATTAATCCAAATTGCATTTAGACTAGTACTCATACAGGACCATTAATTCCACTGTTTGCCCTGCTATTCTCATATATTCCAGGAATGTCATGGCAAGACACCCACATATACAAGTTCTTGATAATTTAGTGTGATGGCATGGAGGGGTCAAAATTAAAGCCTTTCATAATGAATGTTGAAAGACTATGAAATTTACAATTACAACAGGCAGAGTGCTGTTGAAATTTTATAAAAAATTATAGTAGTTCACTGAGGAGTATTTCTGCAGTTATAGTCTTTCTGATATTCATTCATTCAATTTTCTAGACTACTAAAAGGAAAAAAACTGTATTGGAAATCATCAGTCAGTTTTTGTTGTTTGAATAGGCAACCACATTTTCATCTCAAACTGAGCTGATCAATGAAAAACCCCAAGTCTATAATTAGTAGACTATTAAATCAGCTCTCCATTTATTTGTAATGCTCTTTGAATCTAAGCACAAATGTTTTTATATTTACTGCTTTTAAAATTCATCCACTGACTTTGATTAGACTTTCTGATCAAAAATGTCATTTCAATTTCAATTTTATCAAAAAAAGTCACAGACATGCTTTCTGTGTCTTAACTGAAATTCTGACTGAGATAGGACACAGTACATAAAGACTTGAGCCCATCACGAGATAACTGTGTTCATGATTCTAATGACAGAGGAGAAAGCATCGGGATCTCTGCGTTGAAAGGGCTTTCCCAATAAACAGCTGCCTTCCTCTCATCATTAATAAAGCAAAAGGTGGTATCATGAACACATGCTATAGCATTCTTCTAACTTACCAAAACCAGAATCATTCCACTAAAACAAAGAAATCACATTAGTTTGGCATAACCTGTTCTCAGTGACTGTGCCGATTCCCAATTCTCTTTCTAAGTGTTCTATTCTACTCTAACCCTCTGTCCCCTCCTCTGAAGGACAGAGCTGAGGTGGAGAGCATGTGGTGGGTTTTAATACCCAAATTCACAAAGGAGTTAATAACTGCTAACAAACAGCATACTTTTTCAATACAAATTAAGATAAAATTATATATTTTTTTTAATATATTTTATTGATTTTTTACAGAGAGGAAGGGAGAGAGATAGAGAGTTAGAAACATCGATGAGAGAGAAACATCGATCAGCTGCCTCCTGCACATCTCCTACTGGGGATGTGCCCGCAACCCAAGTACATGCCCTTGACCGGAATCGAACCTGGGACCTTTCAGTCCGAAGGCCGACGCTCTATCCACTGAGCCAAACCGGTTTCGGCTAAAATTATATTTTTAAGTCATTTTTGCTGAGATCATGATCACTACATTATTAAAAACTCAGTATTCTAGAAAAGTACACTGAATTTTACAAATGCATCATTCATTACCAGGTATGAATAATAAAGCACAAATATACTCAGTTAAATATGTTATATAATAAACTTTTAATAACAGTTGCCAAATATGTATCAGATAAGTAAACTGACAATCCACAAAATTTAAAAATATCAACCTGTCGTTCCCTTAGGACAGTGGTCGGCAAACTGCGGCTTGCGAGCCACATGCGGCTCTTTGGCCCCTTGGGTGTGGCTCTTCCACAAAATATCACATACGGGCGTGCACATACAGTGTGACTGAAACTTCGTGGCCCATGCACAGAAGTCGGTATTTTGTGGAAGAGCCACACTCAAGGGACCAAAGAGCCGCATGTGGCTCGCGAGCCACAGTTTGCCGACCACTGCCTTAGGACACACAGATAAATTAAGAAGAAAATTTAAGCCCTGGCCAGTTTGGCTCAGTGGATAGACCCTGCAGGCTGAAGGGTCGGAAAGGGCCCCAGGGTTTCGATTTTTTGGACAAGGGGACATACCCCCGGTTTGGGGCTCTTATCCCCCCTTTGGG